ATACATACATACATACATACATACATACATACATACATACATACATACATATACATACATACATGCATACATGCATACATACATATAGCTATATAGCTCGATCGGGAGAGAGAATTGCAGGTTTTGATCGATCTGTAAGTAAGGAATTTGAATGGAGAATTTGCCTGAATCGTTGTATGTGGATCCTAGAGAAGTTGCTTCTTCTTCTTCTTCTACCACTCAATGGAATACCACACAATCCTTCTCCGCAACTGATCGTCCTGGAATTGAGCAGTTGATAAAGTTGCTTAACCGGCCTCAGACCAGAGCTGAAGCTATTAATCAACTTAACAGAGTCTCCAAAATCTATAAGGTATACACACACAATTAAACACATATATGTGTGTATGTCTGTGTCTATATGTGATTAATTATATATGTGTGTATATCGATCGTTTATATATGTATGCACGTCGTGGATTGATCATAGATGATTTCCTGATTCAGTTCTCTYACAGATCAACATTGTGGATTTGCATGAATAACTATTAATATGTTGAATTTTGATCTTTGATTGATTTCTCTTATGTTGATCAAATCAGTTTTATGAGATCAAATCTGCTGCTAAGTCGTACATGATGAACCRTTCGCCTGTTTCTGATTTTATATATTTGATTGTTCAATTAGCATTAAATGTCCTTTATTTGTGTTTGTCCGTGTGTTTGATCTGCTTGCACATTACCTGTGTTGATTTTCAAGTTATTTGAAATTCTTGTTGTTTGTTCAAAATCTTTGTTCTCGATCCCGCATCTATAATGAGCATATATATATATAGGGGTCCATTCAATGGAGAACTGATTAGTTTGTGGTAACTGTGAGATTCAATCTCAACCACAAACCACGGGGAAATTAGGAAATTAATAATTATGGTAGTTTGAGTTAAAATTATAATTAGAGGGCATATTAGATATTTTTTAAAAAATCTTCTCTCCTCTCTCCTCTCTCATCTCTTTGACCTCCAATCTCCGGCCTCCGGTGAACATTAATCTGGCAGGTACCAAGTAATCACAAAGATACACAATGTGATACCTATTGTGATACCATTGTGATACCAACTATGATACCAACTCAAACCTTAAAAACAAAGATACATAATGTGATACTCATTGTGATATACTGTGATACCATTGTGATACCAACTATGATACCAACTCAAACCTTAAAAACAAAGATACACAATGTGATAATCATTGTGATATATTGTGATACCAACTATGATACCAACTCAAACCTTAAAAACAAAGATACACAATGTGATATCCATTGTGATATACTATGATACCTGCCGGATTAATGTTCACCGGAGGCCGGAGATTGGAGGTCGGAGAGATGAGAGGGGAGAGAGGAGAGAAGAATTTTTTTTAAAAAATACCTAATATGTCCTCTAATTATAATTTTAACTTAAACTACCATAATTATTAATTTCCTAATTTATCCATTGATTTGTGGTTGAGATTGAATCTCATAGTTACCACAAACTAATCAGTTCTCATTTGATTAGTCCCTTATATATATATATATATATATATCATGGAAATTGATTCAAATTTTATGATAATTCATTGACTTAAGTATGTTTGTTATCATTTTAATTAATTGGGGGTTCAAAATTTTTGAAGTTTTTCTTGGAGAAAAAATGGATTTCGAGAAGTGGTTTAAAGGAGGACTTTCCGATCACCTTATTGGTCTTTTTCAAGTCTTGATCGCATTGAAGTTTTGAATATACTTAAAATCCGTTCACTAAATGTTTAATGTTTACTCGATAAGTATATGTCGGACTATTTACCTTATCATATGAAAATGACACGAAAATCTTACCCACTAAGAGCGATGATAAGCATGGAGGGTCTTGCCCTGTAAGTGAGGGTGACGACTCTTGCACGGTAAATGATTTCCGCGCAAATTGTTGCATATGATAACATTTTGATGAGTTACAATCTTATCCAGTAAAGTAATTACATTGTTGACTCTTTGAAAAACGCTTATCGGATAAGCGTTTGTGTAAATTAACTACTGAATGGCTATGTGCTTTAGCATAGTGTATGTATTTGTTTGATTCTGTTAGGGAAACTTTATTTTCGTTTCAATGTATGTATAGGACTCTTGTATATGGTTTTAAGCGCATTAGAACATATATGATGACCCGTGGCCTGATCAATTCATTCGTTTAATGATTGAACATACAATATTATTTTACCATAATCGGACTAAGGCATAAATTTCATCTTATTTGTTGTCACCTCCTCGGCTTGATATGGTAGAGACGAAAAGAGTTTGCAATGCAGTTCGCTTGCTTCAGGTCATTTTACTGCATCTTAACTTTGTCTTTATACTCTTATAAAAGATTTTTTTTATGGAACCTGATCCCATCTTTAAACTGGTCCATCATGACTTTGCAGATCCAACCAGCTATTCATGTCCATTGTTGTTGCATGTTTTTCGTTCTTATTAAACGGCTATGTTATTTCATGTGTTGTACTTCTACATAATTCACTAAAACATATGACAGAATCTTTTTTTGGAAACAATTACATATATGATAAGATTCTAGCAATGCCCCTATATGACGGCATACTACTGATATGAACATAGATATCATATATACTTGATCTTTTTGTTTCCTGCAGCTGAGATTATCAATATTCTAACACTTGAAACATGCACTAAAATTCTGTATTTTTATGCTCTTGCAGTGCATAGCATCTCATCCAGAAGCAAGAATGGGGTGTATCAAAGGTATCTTTCATGTTTCCTCTCTCTCTCTCTCTCTCTCTCTCTCTCTCTCTATATATATATATATATATATATATTATTTCTGAATAGCTACAGTCCTGGTATTATATTGAGACCATCATATATGTATGATCATCCATTTACAGTTTTCTTAGATACAGTGAAATTTTAAAATATGAAAATTCTAATTCGATGTTCTATATACGTTGCAGCCCAAATGCCTGTATACATTTACCCTTTTCTTAATACCACCGAGCAACAACTTGTGCAGTTTGATTACTTGCGAATTAACAGCTTAGGTGTTATTGCGACGCTTGTGAAGGTACTAGCTACTCCTACCACTTCAGATGTTTGTCTTTCTATATCTACCATGTCTTTGGTTCCATGATTCTTCAATATATATAGATAGAAATACTAAAATTATAACAATGGAATATTCAATTCGGCTCTGCTGCTACGATCATACACAAGATAACGGTAGCAAAGTGAAAGCACTTCACGACGATGGTTCCAATGCTCATTATCTATACTATAAAGCATGTGATAAAAACTCTTAAAAACCATTTATTATGCATGAAGTACTGTGTATTAAATTAACACAATGTGATTGGAGTTCGCATTTCTTGACAAACAACAACGCAATTGGAATGTTTCTTTTATGGTTGACACCTCCACAAACTCCTCGTCATTGTGTTTTTTATGATCAAACTTCGTTAATTTAATGGACCAACACAAACACACACTACAACAAAATCGGGCTATAAGACGCCCAAAAAATTTAAGCGTCTTATTATAGGACTTAACTTTTAGGACCTTAAAATAAAGTTTACTATTTAAAGACTTTGTAATAAGTTTATAGGAAGTTTTTGGACGTCTTAACAAGTTTTTTACGCCACTTCTAATGCAAAGCATACCATTAGCAATTTTATAGTACATAATTTATAAAAACAAGTGTGTTATAAAAAGATGAGTTTGTAGAACACTTTTTCCAAAGTGTCGTATTGTTGCAACGCTTTCTAATAAAAGACTTGTTAACATCCAAAAACGTCCTATCAACTTATTTTTTGGTCCTAAAAATTAAGGCCTATAAAGTGGTCTATTAGGATGCTTAGAAATTCTATAAACCCGATTTAGTTGTGGAGACATCTTACATCTACACGGATAATATATCACATAGCACCTGCAGGTAGCAACCCTTCTGCTTGGTAAGATTCTAGAGCAACAAGAAGGGAAGCGTTACTGTGGGTCGTTTGTAGAAAGATTTTTTGCGGTGTCAAAGGCTCTCTCCAAAATGGTTGATGAGTTTTCTGGAAAACCTCCAGCTCCCATTGTTCAAGAATATATATATTGATCTGCTACTTGCACCCATCCAAAATCTCGAGGTCAGTCGAGTAACGAACTTGTAATTAACTTTAGTTATCATGATCAATTCCAATCTTATAAGATTGTTTTCACCCTCTCAGGTGTTATGATGCATTAGGGAATTGTTACCCTCAGAGATTGAGAAATCCTGCCTACCACCAATCGGAAGGGCTGGTTGTTCCTTCTTTCCAACTCCACAAGTTGTCAAATCTTTCTTTTACGTGAATCGCCTAATTGGCATGAAGACTCAAAATTATTTGTAATAATACTCAAAACCACGACTACATATGTAATAGAATTCAAATGGAATATATGTAATAGTCTATGTCAAAAATAACACAACACAAAGGCAATAAATTTGATTCCAAAGAGCATTGAAGAAATGGGAAATGGATACAAAAGCAAATGGAGCAAAAAGAAAGTAATAGGGATGATCTCAGCTATCTATTTACAGCTCAAAAGTACAACAAGAGGAATGGTAAAATACAGAGCAACTTGACTAAAATGTACAGAGATGCATCAGCTTGATCCTTGTGGTCTGGAAGGGACTGAAAGCTCACTCTTAAGCATGAAAGACAGATCATGCATTTGTGACAACACCATCTCTACATCTTCCTTCTTTCCTCCCTCTCCATTACTATTCTTCCTGAATCAAAATATACCCCATTTTCTATTAACCCATTGTTCTTCACTTTTATCAACAACAAACAAAACCCCACCTCTTTCTTACATGTTCACAATTTTCAAAAATCTAACACCAAGTTTACCAACAAAAACCTAAGAATCTTACCTGCTCCAATAATGTTTCGTGCCTTACTGCTGGATTTCCACACTAGTTTGTTAATAGAGTTCAATGCAAAACTAATATAATCAAGTGCAAAATGCACAAACGCAAGACTTAAAAAGCATAACCACAAATAAGAAGCAGCAGCATAGGGTGCTCGATGCAAGTAACATACACTTAAGCATTCACAGGTGGGAAAAGCCATTCTGGACTGATAAACCCAAGAACCGAACAGGGTCCAAACTGAATTGAACTGAACAGTAACAGACTATGTTCAGAACCAAACCGGTTCCTTTTCTTTAGTTTACTTTTTAGACTTGAAATGAGGCCACGTTATGTTTGTATTTTTCACAAAAAAAGAAAAACAACTTCGGATTCAATTCATAGTTTCATTTGGGACTGAACCACTTCAGGTCAATCTTGTTTTTGGTTCCATTATTTTTCATCTTTTGGTTCCAGTTTAGTCAGGGGAAGACTTGATGAACAGCCCTACAAGCATGTGAAAAGCAAGTATAGCAATTACCAACACTTTATTAGCATCAAATGAATCATATGGTAGTCTAAGCAGTTAACACGGTCGATTACGGAGATTGAGGTCCGGACCTTGATTTGCAATTGGTTATCAAGATATGCATGATGACATGTTTTGATACAAGTAGGTGTTTTACACCAATGCATGAAAGTGTTTACATTTTATGATACAAGTACGTGTTACACAAGGCATGAAAGTGTTTACATGTTATGTATGACCATAAACATCCAACGTACGGGATATTACAAGAAGGGACGTTTTCCAAACGGACCTTATGGGGAAGCCTTTATGGATAGAGGGGTTAGCAAACCTCAAGACAAGTATGGCATACTTACATGTCTCAAGTGAGATGTCAAAAGGATGCTTATGCATGATAAAAAGATTATTTTTATGCATGATCAAGAGTTTTAGTGAATTATTATTAACAAAATGTTAAGTATCATGAAAATTGTTTATTCATGAAACCATAACTACTCACTAAGCTTTTAGCTCAAGTATCTCTGGGGAATGAGTAAAGAAGGATAGCATGAAGAAGTATCATTCTAATCAATAGCAAAATTTTGTTGTATCATAAGCTATTGAGTTACATTTCTGCTAGTATTTGAACTCTGTGGTAATTATAAAGCTGAGTTTTAGAAATGAAGTTAAATTTCAAGTTCATATGTACGACTTAGTGGTATCAATAAGAACGTAATGGCACCCGAAGTAGGATTTGAGGCGTTACAATATATATATATATATATATATATATATATTGTATGCCTAATACATATCAAGTCAAACAATTCAAAGTAAGTTTCAAACCACACAAGTGAGGAGTAGGAGTAGGAGTAGGAGTTGAAGTTGAAATTGAAATCGAAGAGTTGAAGTTGAAATCGGAAAGACTGAAAGAGGGCAGAAGTTGAAGTCGAGGAGTAGAGGTCGATGAGTGGAGTCGAGGGCAGAAGTTGGAGCCGAGGCTGCAGTGATCGAGTTGAAAAGTGGAGTCGAGGAGTGGACTGTGGAGTCGACTAGTCTAGTGGCTGGAGTCGTTAACGTCTTCATGATTCAGTCGATGGAATTGAGGTAGGGATGATGGAGTATGGACTTAATTTAGGTCAAAGTGAACTCTAAAATTTTTATGGCCATGGATATTAAAGTAAAAGCCTATAAAATATTAAAAAGGAAGTCCAAAATGTTTTAAAAACTGTAAGGCCCATGGACTTAATTATAGCGGTATAGCGGACCGCTATTGTAAAACCAAATCTTGATGCAATAGCGGTGAATAACACCACTAATTGCGGCACCGCTACAAACCACAGCTATTCTCTTAAGGACCGCAAATCCGCTATTGCACCGCAATTAACTGGCATAGATGGTAGTAAAGGCAAATAACATAGACACTACAAGTTACAACCAAGAGCAAAGAGTCATCTAGATGGCACAAGGGGAGGAAAAGGGAGGGCAAACAGTCCTCTAAATGACCTCTATGTGAGCCCTTGGTAGCACAACGGCCCACCTACTTGAAATACTAAAGAATACTTCAAAACATGCCCAAGGAATGGCTTCTTCTAAAATAGAGATGAATATATTTTTGCCTCATTCTAACAATATTAGCATCATTATCGCCAGGTATATATCAAGAAGAGAAGCAGCATAAAGCAAATGTGCAAGCTAAAAGTAACCATGAAAACACATGCCAGTGCCAATAAAAATGATTACGACGGATGACACAATTTCAAGAAAGTTGTACTGACCTGCTTGCTGTAGATACTTCTGAGAAGATATTATACACTTCTTGAGTATCATTTGGATTTTTATTACTAGATGAACCAGAAAATAGATCCGACTGTGAAAAGTTGCCGAAATCCACTTCCTTTGGATCCGTTGTAGATGTAAACAAATTTAATTCTGATATCTTCTCGCTAGCTATGACATTCTCATTACTATTTTGTTTCCAGGAATCTGGGAAAGAACCTTGATTACCAGTTGAGCTTGTGAAATCATTCCATTCATCAAATTTGTCATCATCTTTGCTGGCCGCCATAGTGGTAGCACTAGAAGCACCAAATGGCCACTGACTATCTTGAAACCAGTCAGTAGTGTCTGAATAGTGTTTGTTTGAATTATCAAATTCTGACTTTTCAGTGTGACTAGACACCTGGGAGCTAGCATTGTATAGCAGGTCATTTTGAATCAAGTCATTAACCAATGTTGGGGAAGAGACTGCATCAACCTGCGGTTTAATATCAAATGAATTTTCATCTTTGTCGGTAGCAGTGTTGTTGGCAGTACTTTTCAGCCAGTTAGTATTTTCAAACCAGTCTATAGAAACACCTTCGGTAAATGAATCATTTGATTTATCCTGTGAAGATCCCTCATTATGTTTAGCAACCAAGTCTAACAGATCAGCCTGCTGAGCGACAGCAGCATTGTTGGCACTACTCGTCTGCCAGATACCATCATTAAACCAGTCTCCATCAATACCTTCTGAAGATATATCATTTTGATGACCTGATAACCCATCCTTTGCTTCAGCAACTGATTCCAACTGCTCAGCTTGCGGAAAAGTTGCAGAGCTCATGTTGGCAAATAAGTCATCTGGAATCCAGTCTTTACCTGTAGAAGGAGCAGTAACTGAATCATCATTCAGTTTTGTGTTATTTAATCTTTTTATCTGTCCAAAAACTGCATCCATGTGGACAGATAGATCAGCTTCAGCGCCTACAAAAGGGTCAACTGATTTGGAATTTTCATCCTCTATTTTGGTATCTGCAGATTGAAATTCTGCATTCCAGCCAGATGAAGCATCACCACTCACATCAATGGAAGAAATGACGGATGTCTCAAGAGGCAAAACATTCTGGAATAGAGTAAGATTTTCTTGACCGCCAAAGGCCTTATTTTGATCATTTTTGCTGGTAACTGGTTGTTCTTCGGATGCATCAGAGACAATAGCTCTCTTTGACTCTATAAAGAAGCTGTCCAAGTCGGCTGTACCAACATTCAGAGAACTGCCATGTTCAGAAGTCTTGTTGTCGAAACTATTCTCAGGTTTCTTAGGCTTATCCTGCCATGAAATCTGCAAATCTAGGAGATCAGACAAAGTTACTTCATCTTCTGCAGGACTCTGCCCTCTATGTATTCCACTTCCTTCAGCCAAAGACCCAACTCTTCCCTAAAAGTAACGTAAATGGTATGTGAAGAGCATAATGGGATTGCACAAGACCAACACAGATCATCAAAACAACACACAATCATAAACTTCAAGACATCATCAAAACTGTTATCCCAAATTAGAACTCAAATCTGCCAGGACAAAACTCTTAACATGATCATTATTCCTTAGCAGGGAAATAATCTATCTTATTTGAGACGCGTAGCAACATTTGACAATGTGATCTCCATCCAATAATCAAGTAGTACAACCTTAAATCATATACTGTATTCAGTGGTGTTTCCTGTCTCGCTCTTTATTCTATAATCTCTAACTCGTGTTTCAAAAGTATGATACTTACAAAATGAAAAACCCTTCATAGATATACAATATTATCAAACTCTCCCCTCTGCAAAGTGTCAACAGTCTCTCCCTGTATGCTTTATGTTATTATAAGGTATGTTACATTAATCAGGGATAGTTGAATAAATGAGTAATTGACAAAATAAATAAGAGGCTTCAAATAGAAATTTAACCAAGGAATGCCCACAGAACCATCTGGAAAATAGTTAGTTTGTAAAGGATTCATCACATCAATTGAGAATAAATAAAAAATAGTCATATATATACTTCACGTCTGTTACAACAAGTGTACTTGTAACAGTGGTTTAGGGTACGGATATTTGGTTCACCACCTTCACTAATCTTGAGGCATGGACGATCCAGTTCCATGGACGAAGGTAGGTAACTAAGTTATCTCCTATGGCCTCTCCACTATATTCTGCTTACCATATTAGGACAGAATGGGACTTCAATAGTAATGGTGAGGATTGCAATGAAATTAATGTATAAGTAAAGCGAAAAACCCTAACCGATCCGCTTAAGTTCAGAGATTGAAGTAACCAGCGATAACCATTGCTGGAATTGAAGGAGATAGGATCAGGATGGAGGTCCTTCTTCTGGTTTTCACCACAATATATGCAAATCAGTGACTGTAAACCTCTCAGGAGCTTCCCTTTACAAAATTTGCATCTCAGATACGACGGAGACGAGTCTAAGGTGGATATACACGCCTCAAGCGTCGGTAATGACGGTAGGGTTGTTTCTTCCGGGTCGAACGACGATAGTCCGACACCTTCTCGGAACCCGATCTGAGCTCGATTGATAAGATCCGTCGGAACATCGAAGTCCATTCTATGCGTTGATCAAGATCGGCGAGTGTGACTATATTGATTTTGTTCAAAAAGCGGATGTGGTCTTCCGTATCTAGAATCTCCGGTGGTGGTGGTCGTCGTCGGAGGAGGAGGAGGAGTTCAGTGTTTAGGCGACGATGGCGATTTGGATCTTATTTATGGGCCATCGGTTATCCGGGTCGATCCTCACCCCAACCTCGGCCCTATCTTTTGTCTACATGGTTTTTTTGAAAATCTGTCATCTTTTTGTGTCAGCTGTTTGGGATTGCTTATTTGAAACAAGTTATGTTTTTTTATAAAAAGGATTTATCAATTTATTATAAGTCAGAAGGATAACTTCTTTAAAAACTCTTTATTACCAGTTTTACATTGGTATAAGTTGTTTATCCAAACACTTAAAAGTGCTTATTAACGGTGTCACACCGAAATAAGTCAATTTGTTTTTATAAACAATCCCAAGCTACCTTTTGATCCATATGTTACGTCAAAAATCATGAATTTTGTTCTCTAATCCATTGATTACATTAACAATTAATGTGATTTTCTTTGAGGTCACTTCTTGTGCTAGGAAATATATGTACTTGTAGATCTCGGCATTGTATCACCAGAGTAGTAGTGCAAGTGAATAATGGGTACTACGTTCGCTTTTAAATAATATAATGGGTATAGTACATATATCGTATCCATAGGTACTGGTCTTACTAAGAATCTGAGATTTCCATGAACTTCCCGTGAAAAGTTGGTTTTTATAATTAATTGTTACGGGAGTGTTTTGGTGATTGTTAAAGTTAACTAACAACATGTAATAAAAAGCGAGTATGTGTGTAAGTTTTTTTATAAGAGTATGATGGTAACAAAATCATTGAAAGAACCGTCATAAAAGAACCCTTCGCGATTTCTCTCTCGAAAGTGAATTGTGATGGAATGTGGCACAAGTGCTAACTTTCGGTTTTCCAACCTTACTAAGTAGATCTCGTAAATTTAAATTCCATTGGTATGGAAAGATGTGCATATCTCTATGGCACATGAACTTGACCGACATGCTAAACCTTATCGAAAATTATACAAGAACTCATATATGTATATGATTATTGAAGATTTTCTCAAACCTTCTTGTATCACTCAAGTCGTATCTCGAATCTGCTCATCTCTTGGTCAATGATTTAATATTAAACATAAGTTATCATCTTATCTGCGTTGAGTTAAAGATTTGAATTGAGTAATCAAACCGAAAAGTTAGCAAAAAGTAATAACACCCAAGTGTTACATTTTACCTCCTGGTTTTGCTTACACCCAACACCCAAGGGGGTTTAGCTCGTGTTCGAAAGAAAAGACATAATAGAAGATAAGAAATACTCAATTTTAAATTGCATTAAAATAAAATTCGACATTTTGGTCACATACGTCGCCACAATGGTACATAAATGTAAATAACCAGAACACAAGATAAAGTGTTGACCTCTCTTGTTCATTTCTTCTCCTCATTTATTAATATCCCAAAGTTGACCTTTGCCTATGTCAGCTCCTCATTTCACTGAATTGGAAATAAAATTGCTGCAAGATCTTATGACAGGCTCATAATTCTGAACTTTCAGTTGTTTCTTGACTTTAGAAACAATTTATAGATTAAATAAGTAAAATACTCAAATGCGTATTAAATGGGTGAAAATGGGTCTAAAAAGAGTAACAAATAACTCTAAAATTTAGAGGTTATCGGCTTGCAAAGAAAATCCTTGCTCAACTCCCATGAATTGGACGAGAAAAGGCTACCGTTACGTAAATTGAATAAGGCTCTGTTTGTTTTTTTATAAAAAAAAGTTCTTATCAGCCTCTTATGTCTGATTCATTAAGAGGTAGGTCATTCAGACTGTTTGTTTTTTTCCAATTTTTCAGAACCACTTATGCCTTATTGTCCTCTTATCTGGGAAGAGGTAAATCAACCTCTTATTTGACTTTCAAACCCTCAACAAGGGTGTTTCTTAATCCATTAACCTTAATCAATCATTTCTCTCAATCAATCCTTACCAAATCAATCCTCACTTCTCTCAATTGATATATTTTAATAGGATTTAAACGCGTTAAGTACCGTTAATGACATATTTTCGTTCAAATGAATACTAATTATATAATTTAGATATACATTTCATAATGATGATGAGTAAATATGTGAAATTGTATAAATTTATCTATAAATTAAACACCATAATTTATTAATGGGTAAAATAAACAATTTAAACAAATTCAGACGTTTATCAGTTTATAAAAACAAACAGTCTTATTGATTCAAATTTCAGACTTCAACACCACCTCTTACAAATCAGAAGTGAAATAAGACTTCATACTTCAACACCTCTTAAAAAACAAACATAACCTAAAAAAGAACCAAAGATTCATTATTATAGAAAACAAATTCCAGGTTTCTCCATTGTTACCATCACAACTACACTAATCATGGTATTGTAAGAGACATTGTTTATCTCGAACTCGAGCTCGTTTATCTTGAACTCGAGCTCGTTTAACGCGAGCTTAATTATCCAAGTCGTTCGAGCATACACTTTTTCGAGTCAAACATACACATATATCCATGAACCATATAATCAATATATATATATATATATATATATATATATATATATATAATTGAGATCAACCCAATAAGAAAGCTAATCGATCTCGAGTTTGAATCCATAAACAAGTATCGAACTCGAACATAAAAAATTATTTTAAACAAGTTGTTCAAACTCGAGCATGATAATCTTTTTCGAGTCGAACTCGAATAACATACAACTCGACTCGGCTCGACTCATTAACACCCCTAGTAGGTAGGTGCATACACTGAAGTTTATTTTTTAAAAACAGTAAAAAGACAAAATATGATAATAAAAAAAGACCAATATGCCTTTGTGTGAGTTAATTTGACCGCCTCCACTAACAGTTGTTGGATGACGGACAAAATCCGTAAGGATTTGCAAACCACAGTAATCACTGTTATGATAAACGAATCAAATCTTTAATCTCTTCTTTGTTTATGTAAGAGGAAATGTTGTAAGAGAGAGCTCCAATCATTTGTTAACTATATAATCAATGTTATCACGTGCCTTAGTTAATGAGTAGGGGTAGTTTTGTACTTTCAATTTTTTAATAAACAGTTATATAATCATTTCTATATTTTTAAGGAGGATAAATATGACAGTTATTGAGGATAACTATGGCAGTTAAAAAGGTTGTTTGAGTTTGTTTATCGATCACTAAGCTCCATAACCAAACTTAGATTCAAGAAGAACAAAACCCAGAAGTGCGTTCGTCTTCTTCCATCAATTGGTTCTTAACTTCAAGATCACTTAAAACCCAACGGTAGAAACGTTAGCATCATCATCATATGCACACTTCTCAACAAATAAGAGCGTTTTGATAAGAACATGACAAAGATACTAAAAGGCCTTTGGCCTAACAATATATGAGCCTTTGACTCCTAGGAGGTCAGAGATTCCGACCTCACTAACGTGAGTAGGGTGTGTGAGTTTATTTGTTGCATTTGTCATATATAGACATTATATACTTAAAAAAAACATGAGGAGATGATGGTTGGTAGGGGTGTAGAAAAAACCATCAACCTGTGAAACCCGACCAACCCAACTTGCTAACAACCTAATTAAACTTAATCCGCTAAATAAGGTTAATAAACAAGGTTCACAACTAAAGGATGATTCTAAAGAATATCATAGGAGAAAATTATTGGAATCATTTTTGCAACAACAAAAAATAGACGTGCCCGAGAACATGAACTTAATGAATCCATCTCCATCATTTAATCTATTACTTTGATGGAAAGATAATGTTAATAGGTATAACATTTTGTCTAGAGATGTTTTTGCTATACCTATATCTGTTGTAGCATCTGGATCTGTCTGTATTTTAGACTTATTTAGAAGCTCTATGAGTCCAAAAATGATGAAAGCTCTTGTATGTACACAAAGTTGGTTGAAATGGAACAATGAGGGTGAAATTACATATTAGGACTTTCTTGAAAAAAGTAAATTTAACAATGCATCATATACAAACAAATCTATAATAAATGAAATAGATGGTCGAGAACAAAAAAATTTCAAGAAAATACAAAGAACGCTACCTATAATTTAGGGGTCGTTTATCAAACAATTACTAGGTAAGCACTTACCGGTAAAATTCAACACTATCACTTACTTACCAGGTAATATCTTAGTCCACAAAACGACATTGTATATAACAATTTTCTCGGTAAGCGCTAACCGTGGTAAAAGCCGTTGCCCTCACTTACCGGGTAAGACTATTGGTACTTGTCTTGCTCTTATCGGATAAGATTCTTGTTCATTTATATATTCATCCGATAAAGTAAATATGACTTGTTAAATGCTTATCCAGGTAAACGTTCGGTAACACTATAACCTTATTTTATATCATAAATTTGGTCTAAAATATTGTGGTCTTAGAACATTATTAGCCTGAATCAAGATTTTTTTTTATTAACCTAGATATCCAATCTGCTATGCGAGCCGACTAATCTCAGAATGACCACTTGTTTTGCAGATAGCTCGAAGTCACCACATTTGAACCTCCATGACTACAAGGAAATTTTTATTTCCTTTTGGATTTGAACCTAAGACTTTTCGATATTTTTGACTTTTAAAATCAAGCTCAAACCAATCGATAACCATCTTATGTCGACTAAATCAAGATTTGCTTTTAATAAATAGATCATTTGAATACATTTTTCTGTCGGTGATGGGGTGAAGGAAAGACCCCCAATTTCTCCTCAATTTGCTTCTGTTTTCCCACTCTGTATCTTCTGCAAGATCAGATACCAAGCATCATCACACCTTTCCTCAAGATCAGCTCTACTATTTTCCCACATACATATACATATACTTTATATATACATATAGAGAGAGATAGAAAGAGAGGAAGTGTGTGTGTGAGAGAGAGAGAGAGAGGGTGGAGATGGCATTGAATAGGGGTGGATCGTGTAATCCGGCCGTCGTGAAGGTCGGAATTACGTTGTTGGGAGTGTGCTTGGTGGGTTATCTACTAGGTCCACCGCTATACTGGCATTTTCTTGAAGGCTTAGCTGCCGTACGCCGCTCCTCCTCCGCCGCATCTTGCCCTCCTTGCAACTGCGACTGCGATTCTCAGCCCCTCCTTTCCATTCCTCAAGGTCTGCAATCTTTCACTTTCAAACCATCTGTCTGTTGCACTCATCTTACTCTGATCTATAATGATTACAAATAATTGATCTCTTCATTTATTGCACCCAATCTGTACTCCATGGATCTCAAAACCTTTCAGTCATAACCATTAGATCTTGTCTACTCCATGACTTTAGGGATCAAATTCAATCTGGGGTTTAACTTATTGTTAGAAAATTCTGAAAACCCACATCAAACTTGATTAAAAGGATCACAAAGAGAAATTATTTTGATGGGTAATTACTAATTAGGGATGGAAATCAGAATCAAGATTGCTCACTTACCTTGACAGATTAAAATCTCTTATGTAGATAAGATAAGCATTTGACTCATTTCGTCCAATCTGCATGTAGATTTGGAGTAAAAACTTGTAATTTGAAGACTTTTGGCACTTATCAGTTATGGCATAGAAGTTGTCTTTGATCTTCATATGTTAGTCAAGACATTTGTCGAAGAGTGGATTCGTTCGATCTTGAGTCTGGTTTTGTTGTCTACAAGAAACTAGATTTGTGGTACCTGTAAATGTGATTATTGTCCCAAGTTTAAGACAAGATTTGTGCTTTTGACGTTGCGCGACTATAGATAGTAAACCTCTCTAAGGTAGAGGAAAGGTTTGTGTACATCACCCTACCTTGTTCGGGATATACTACATTTGGTTTGGCTACAAATGATAGGCAGAGGAAAGATCTGCTTTCATCTTGCCTCTTCAGGCCCTACCTTTTTGGTGGGATATAATGCATTTGGTTTGGCCATAGATAGTAAACCTTTTGCCTTTTGAGGCAGAGGAATGATCCGCCTACATCTTACCCCTTCAGACACTGCCTTCTGATGGGATATACTGCATTTGGTTTGGCTACAAATAGCATACCTCTCTGCCTTTTTAAGGCAGAGTAAAGATCTGCGTACATCTTACCCCTCTAGATCCTACCTTATGTAGGATACAATGCATTTGGTTTGGCTACATATAATAGACCTCTATGCCTTTTGAGGCAAAGGAAAGATCCGCATATATCTTACCCCTACAGACCTTTCCTTTTGTGGGATATATTGCTTTTGGTTAGGCCACAGATAGTAACTCTCGTGGCCCATGAAGTGGGTGGATTTCGATACATTGATCATCAGTGTAAGTATTTAGCAATCAATTTTTGCTATTTTTATCACACGGAGAAGTTTTAGACGTATAAACAATTGGCATCCTTTTTTTCCTAAGAAAACCTCTAAGGGAATTGAGATCGTTTCTTGATTTGGAATCATCGAAGACATATTTATGTGGGTATTTATTACAGTTTTAGGAAACTTCAAATCCAGTTGATCGCTTCTCGTATCAACTGTAGGAACCGTAAGATTTGATAACCTTTTCAATCTGGCTCACTAATTCGACTCGTTATGCTGATAAGTGATTTATGTTTCTTGCAGGGCTTAGCAATAATTCCTTCACAGGTTAGTAGTAGTATCCCGCACTTGAAATAATCGATTCTAATTTTCATTTTTCCACAAACTAAAATAGAAATGTGGACACTTATTTTGGGACAGAGGGAGTTTTTATCGAACATGCATCATAGATTAGAAAACTAGCCGAATTTCGAGTGGTTTCATTGCAAAATATCAAGCTTTTTCGACATTTGCACGTAATAGCCAGCCAGTTAGCAAAGTGGACCTTGCAAGCTCCCCCTTTTTGCGAGCCAGTCCCCGCTATAAAACCCACTTAAAACAACGTCTTTTAAGCTTTCGATCTATTCTAGTTTTAAGCCTAGAAATGCCACATACGACTACGAGCTCTAGAAGTACATTTTTTGTATCAAAATAGTCAAGATTCGTAAGGAAAGGCTGAAAGGTGGAGTTCCGCTCGCGAAGCCCAATTTGCTAACTTGACGGCCATTTTGTGCAAATGTCGTAAAATTTGCTCTCGGGATTTGGCTAGTTTTGTGATTATCCCTTTTGTTCTAACATGCGAGTTATGCAATAATTTATTTGTGAGTGTTGATTATATTCGAAGCAGATTGTGCAAAGCACGATCCTGAAGTGAACGGAGACATGGAAAAGAATTTCGCGGAGCTTCTATCGGAGGAATTGAAGCTACGTGAAGCGGAAGCTTTAGAAAGTCACCAACGTGCTGACATGGCGCTCCTCGAGGCCAAGAAGTTGACATCCCAGTATCAGAAAGAAGCCGACAAATGCAATTCAGGAATGGAAACTTGTGAAGAGGCTCGTGAAAAGGCCGAAGCAGCTTTAGTTGCACAAAAACAACAAAGCGAAATGTGGGAATTACGAGCCCGACAAAGAGGCTGGAAGGACGGCGGTGGTAAGTCTGTGAACACCGTATGACATACGATCACTCGATAACCATACGTTAGCTTCTGGCTCGATCGGAAACGGTTGTTGTTTGGATGAAGCTTTTTATATACTAGTTTTAAACATCTATATTAGAATGTTTAGGGCTTTCTTTGGTTAATTTATGTGAAATGTTATTTGCATATTTTGTTGAATTGCATAGATATAGCGTTGGAGTCTCACATCTGTTAGATTTGATCTTTCTACGTTAATATATGTTAGAACATCCCTTCTCTCTTCAAGTATTATTTGCAGAGTGATCTGATCGGTTCCATATACGCCCGAGTCCTAACTTAGGGGAAGTTCATCCCGCTCTGCCGTTAACTTCATCGGCGACTGTTACCCTTATACCCCCTCCACACCAGGAGCTACCGATCCCCGTAAACCCCATCCACATCACTGTCGGCTCCAGCTCCGGCTCCAGCTCCATCACTCTCTGTATCACCATCGAAGCACAACATGACCAAGCCACCATCACCTGTGAAATCCCGTCCGGAGAGAACCAGTTTTCTTGCCGTTTCTTGGGCCCAAATGGCGGTCAATCCAACTACGAATTCTGAATCTGGTGAGGGTATGTACCGACTAAATATGATTAATGATGTGTGATAATTGATAAATTGTTGAATTTTATGAACGTTTGGTCTTTGTCTATGCTATTTGAATATGACACACAACTCTATAAAATTTTCAAGTGTTATTAAAAGAACCGTTCATTAAACACTTACCAGATCACTTCATGACAAGGATTGAGAATCTTACAGCAATGACATGAACCGAGAGTCTTACCCGGTAAGTAAGGGGTGACAACTCTTGCCCGATAAGCATTTACCGGATAAAAATGACGCATATTGATACCGTTTTAACAGACCAAAATTTTACCCAGTAAGTTAAAAACAATTGTTGATTCTTACCGATAATAAGTGCTTGTGTCGACCCAAAGGCCCCTTAGTCTGTATTTATCATCCTATAAACTCAATTCTAAAACGGTATTGTATGCATCATTCTTATCCGGTAAGTGCTTATCAGGCAAGAGTCGTCACTATCACTTACCGGGTAAAACCCTCGGCTCTTGTTATCGCTCTTACGAGATAAGATTCTCAATCCTTGTCATAAAGTAACCTGGTGAGCACTTACCTGGTAAGCGTTTAGTAACTGCCTCTAAGTTCTTTTAAATTTTTATAGAGCCGTGTGTGATAGCATAGATAGACTAAATGTTCTTAAATTCATCAATTATCACACATTATTAATCGCTAGAAGGTACTCGTGCAATGCATCGAGACACATTTTCATTTCAATGTTTCGTTTTATTTTTTATCCATGTCTATATAATACGATTTTATATGGTTTTGAAAAATAGATAATGTTTTTATTTTTGAATAAAATATAAATTTGAAAATATCATATAAAATTTGCAAAAAATATATCAATATTAGTATCAAAATAACTATTTGTATATTTTTTTAATTCAAAATTTTTATTATAATTTAATTTAACGTAACAAAGTAACTTAATTTAGGTTTAATAATATATTCTTTATAAAGATAATAATTAAGTATTTTGTTAGAACTCAATAATTATCCTAATTATATTTTAGATTTTTTATATTTTAAAATAATATGTTTATCTTTTATTTGATTATTTTTATCCGTAGTTAGTTACACATTTGAATAAATTTCTCCTTTTCAAATATTCCCAATTTATCGGCCTCGAATTTAACTGCGTAGACAGTGTCCGTACACAATTTGCTGAAGTGGTGGTGGTGTCGAGGTTCAAACACGGAGCCTTTTTGGATGACAACAATCTTGTTGTCATGTAACACGCACGGTCCAACGAGCGTTGAAGCATCAATAGCCATTATTATGTTGAGGCGTGTAGGGAGCAAGGTGAGGTGAGTGATACAATGTATAACAAGAAAAGGGTTAAGTTTTTCATATTCTCCCTCATTGTTGGAATAAAGTGATGATCTGACGATTGAAATACATTTCCACTAGTGCTTTAAAACGAAACGAAAACATTTTCTGTATCGGATTTATGTTTAAGGGGATAGAGTCGTACAAACTTAAAATAGTGATCAGCAAAGATGATGTACTATTTGTGACCAGCAAAAGAGTAGATAAGAGATGTCCATACATCACCGTAATTAACATCCAATAGCCCATTATAGCTAATAATAGATTGAGAGAACGGAAGTTTATGACTTTTATTGCAATCGCATGTATTGCAATTCGAATGAGAACTTGGAATAGAAATGTTAAAACTAGTACTAATTTTCTTGAGAAGAGAGAAGGACGAGTGTCTTAATCTGTGATGCCAAGGCTAAATTTGTAGATAGAGAAGTGGAGTTGATGGTTGACGAATTAAATGTCATTCATATATTCCAGATTTAGTTAGACCCTGAAGTGGTATCGCTCCTGTTTGTATGCGAGTATGCCCTTTACAAGAAAAGAGTTGGGGTAAGAAGGTGATGGAATCATTATTATCAACACAAAATTGTGAGATGGAGATTATGCTTCTAGATATGGAAGGAATATGAAGAACACTGTTTAAGTGAAAAGAGTGAGAGGGTGTAAGAAGAGATACGAAATCAATGTTTGATATGGGAAGTCCAGAGCCATCACCAGTGACCAGTTCATCACCGCCGTCACAAGGAGCATGTAGAGGAAGCGTCTCTAGATTGTTGGTAACATGGTGGGAAGCATAGCTATCAAGTAACCACCTAGAGGTTAAAAATGGGGCACTAACAGTATACGTTCTAGGGTTGTGAAGGGGTTGTTGATACCTTTGAACATAGGTTTATGAGAGGATGAAGTAAATGGTACTGCTTGAGAAAATTGCTTGCGAAAAATGGCGTACCATGATCACAGTCTTTATCTTTATCACGATTTGCCTTTTTTATTCGAGACAACAGATGCATGTGGCAACGATGTTTGTGATTAACATTAGATAAGCACTCTAGAAGCAGAAATCGAAAAACAAAAATCGTATCCAATGATAGTTTCTTAGACATGTGCTTGTACGAATGTTGTTATGAAACTCGGTTCTTTGCTTTTTCAACAATCAAGAATGAAGTACCCAGTATCGTCAGTGAGTCATACCTGAGAAACAAGTGTGCCAGAAACAACGTAACTGTGAGCAGAACAAAATCTTTCTTGGCACACTGCTTGTTTGACGCACTTGTCTTCAGGGATGGGACTCAGAAATATTTTCAAACGATGACACCGTTTGATAATAAGAAAAAAAATATATAAGGACATTTTTTCAAACAGTGACACCATTTGACTAAGACAATGACACTAACAGAATTCGAACTTGAGTGGGGTGAGATAAAAGCCTCGCAAACCAACTCTACCAAATAAAACGTGTTCTCATTGTAATTTCAAAATACATAAGGTGACACACAACAAATTAATACGGTTGCACTTCACAAACCTAATTTTTTTTACCATTCGACGGATGATCAATACGATGGCACGTGCCACCATATGCACCACTATAGGTCCGTCCCTGCTTGTCTTCCTGGTTTGTGGCCCGTTTGAGGAATACAAATAATTGAACAACTTTTTACCTTTCTCCTTGGTGAGGTCCACCGTAAATGTTTCCGGATTCAGACCTTTCATTAGCTCGCCTTTTTCACCTCGAAAATCGAATCATGAGAACTCAACTCGAAAATCCTTCCTTGCTTGCCCATATTGTGATGGTATGGGCCAGTTGAGCCTCAACATCTCGTAAACAAATGATTGAACAAGTTCCATTTCTTGTACGGTCCCAAGCTCAATCCCGAGCTACCCGCTTTTCTCTCACTTCTTTACGTAGTTTTTCTTGAATACCGGTTTTGTCAGACCCCAATGTGGATAACAAACTTAGGAAAAAGATTGAAAACCCGCCAAAGACATTGAGACCAAGGGTGAAACAAGAGATTGTGGATGGTGTCCTCTTTACTGAGATTGAACTCAGTTTGGCCTCATTCGATTCTCTTCCTCGATAAATTAGTATAGCTTGTTATAATCCCGACTCACTAGGAAGCAAAGGTAGGGAAAGGAATGCATGAAGATCTCGATTAACGGCAGGAAGGAGTTGATCAGGACTGTAGCAAGGATCTGTACTGCGAGCCAGGTCCATGCCTAAGTAACGGTTCTCGGCCATATAACAACGAGTTTTGGGGATTGGCTCCGACGATGCAACAAGATAAGAAGGCAAAAATGGAATTTCTGAACGGGGACAATGTAGTTGGCTGGTCCAGAGGCGAGTTGTTATTCAATATTGTCCCACATGGTGTCTAGCAAGCTGGTTTAGAAACTTTCTCTTTTTACACTTTGACCCATCTGCAAATTGCGGACGTGCCACTTGCGAACCTCATGACATTCTGATTTTGGTGTTCTTAGAAGAAAAATAACTAAGAGGTGAAACCACAAGTCGAAAGTTGCTATTTTAATTAATCATACCTTTAAAATATTAATTAATATATATTTGTTTCATAATGTGAAACTTCTTCAGGCATATATTTTGTTTCATAAACATATAAAAATTTACCTTCTGAAACAAATATATGTTAATCAATATCTTATCTTATCAATTTTAAATTAATATTATTTTTTATAAAATAACACATAATGTACTATTTTCACAGTTTACAACTCTTTTTATAATTCTTATTTTCCCATTAAAAAACCTTAAATTTAAATACCATAAAAAACAATTCTGACAAAGACCCGATTGGATCTTAGATCCGATTCACGTGACGTGAATACAAAACAAAACTGAAAGCGCCATCACCAAAAAGCATCCAACAAATCGCAATATTGGGCCCTAAAATTGACGTCGACGTGCTTAAAACAAGTTGGTGCTTTTTGTTGGGAAAATACTTGTTAAATAATTATGTCGTAATAAAAATATAATAAATTATTAATCACATAATCTTTGTTTTTATTTTATTTATCCCGGTTTTTGTAAAGTGAATTACAGATTTAGTCCTTGTGGTATGTCGTTGAAAATTAAGACTAGCGTTCTTAAACTCCAAAATTTGTGGATATGGTTTTGGTGGTTGTCGTTCTCTTATGATCAAGGTCTCTCTCACTAATGGTCCTTAGATAAATCCGTTAGCTCAAGTTTAAAAGGATGAAAACACCCTCGTTTTTTTTTTTTCCAGTTAAGTGTGTGTGTGTATATAGAAGTCTAATCAAATGAGATTTAGATAATTTGTGGTAACTGTAAGGTTTAATATGAACCAATCATTTTAGATAATTAATATTATTTACTAAAATAAAACAAAGGAACAATTTATAAATTGTGTTGATTATTCAATTTACTTTAATTAGTTTAATATTTCAATTTACTTTAATTAGTTTAATTATTTTAATATATGTATATATATACACACACACACATGGACCAAAGCTGGTGGCCTTATTTGGCACCCCCACCACTCCGGTGACCTCCTCCGGTCATCTTGTCTGACCACAACGTCGTTTCCGATGATCGACCACTAAACACCTACATGTGAGCATTCCCGACAGCTAGCCCCATTTGTGTCCCTGTGACCGCCTCACTACTTATCTCCCTTCCCCAATCCCCGCCACTGACCACCATCTCCATCGACACTTCCCTCGATCCCCCCCCCCCAAACACCCTCATCGATCACTCTCCATCTGGGAAAACCCTCCACTCTTGTGGTCATCTCCATCCTAATCTTCTTCTCCAACCCAACCTCCAGACCTGCAACACACATACACACACTGCACACACTGCACACACATATCGTGTATATGATATTGTGCACACTGTACACACATACATATGTATACAACGTAGGTATCAGAGTGGTTTCAAAGTTTACTTGGTGTATTTTGGATATCACATTATGTATCTTGGTGTATTTTAGGTATCAATGGTGTTCGTTGGAGGCCGGAGGTAGAGGAGAGATAAAAAATTTAAAATATCTAAAATGTCCTTTAATTATAATTTTAAGTCAAATTACCAAAAATATTAGTTTTCTAATTTATCCATTGATTTGTGGTTGAGATTGGATCTCACAGTTATCACGAACTAATCAATTCTCCATTTGGGTCGTGTAATTTTAGATTGTAATGCAATTAATCCTTAGGCATAGGAGTCGGTTTGGAATGAGATAGTTATCCCTCTATTATAGCTAGAAACTCAGATCACCGGGGGACTCGAGGTAAATACTTGTATAAAGTTGAACTTGATGACTGTGTGATCCGTAGCAGCGGATTCAAGGTAAAGACTTGGATTGAGTTGAACTTGATAACTGTGTCATCCGTGACAGCGGATTTAAGGTAAAGACTTGGATAGAGTTGAACTTGATAATCGTGTAGTCCATAGTGGCTGTCATTTATAGTGAATGTGATTAACTTGGATTTGGGAGATCTCAAGGTAAAGACCCGAATAAGGTTAAACTTGGTGAATTCCCAAGTGAAAGGCTTGAATAGAGTTGAGCTTGTTAAATCCATTTGATTAAAGGCCCAATTAAGGTTGATGTCAATATTTTATATTCATAAGTGATGCTTATATAACATTGAATTGTGGCTTACTTATGTGTTTCGTCATAACCAATGGTAAATCAGGTCTCCCCCGTCATCTTATGATGTTTTACACTCTTCCAAAGCTAAAGATGATCTGTTTATACAAAATAACTTGGTTAACGCTGTATTTTCCATTTTATTGTTTTATAGCTTTATTCTTGGTTGTGTCAGTATTAGGTTTTGGTTTCGTATAAATGAGTGTTTTGATTTATGGTTTTTCGTCAAGAAAATGGTGGATTTCGAAAAGATGTTGCTTTTACGATAAAGACATTTCATTTGCGAAATTATGACTTAAATCAACCGCGTTTTAGTTTTACCGTTTTATGATTATGATGAAAACTGTTTGAACTCACTAGGTGTTAAGCCTAGCTCTTTTTATTTGTCGGCATATGCATCAGGTCCTTGTTATGAAATGGTACTAGTGACAATATGAATAATTAAGTGCTAGTTAAAGGCCACGCGAAACAAATAGCAAACTGGAGACGTTTTTTGCGTTTGGAGATAGCGACTTTATTGTGTTTTAGTAACACCCGACTTTAACTTAATCTTTATGTAAGACGTAGTTTATCAATTGTTGATGTTGAATTTAGATTCGATATTCGAGGTAATTCAAGTAACTAGTTAAACTGAATAAGAATTCATATTTTCCGTTGGATAAACCGAATAAGAATTCGTATTTTCCGTTGGACACTTGCTCCAATATTTTCCCCAAATTTAATGTCGGTTGCTTCTGATGTATAATTGTATCATACATTTATACTCGACAATCGACTGTATTAAGTAAAAAACATCATCTACTAAAAAATCATATCTATCGTCGGTGCATCATGATTTGCCGGTTTTTATTTGGGATAACGGATAACGAATAACGGTCTGCGACACGATGTTTGTAATTAACAACCAAGTACTCGAGAAACACAAATCGTATTCACCGGTCTTGCTGGAACAATACTTTCGTAGACATGTCCTCGTATGAGTATAGTTAGACAACTCAGTTCTTTGCTTTTTCGACGGCCGAGAATGAAGTACCCGCTATCGTTACCGAGTCGTACCTGAGAAACAAGTGTGCCAGAAACAACGCAGCCGTGAGCGGAACAAAGTCTTTCGCGGCACACTGCTTGTTCGACGCACTTGTCTCCCCGGTTTGCGGCCCGTTCGACCAATACAAATAATTCAACAACTCTTTACCCTTCTCCTTGGTGAACCGGTCCGCCACAAATGTTTCCGGGTCATCAAACACGTTCGGATCTTTCATCACTAGCGGTTGGAACCCACAAAGAAGCTCGCCTTTTTTCACCTCGAAAACCGAGTCATGAGAACTCAACTCGAAATCCTTCCTTGCTCGCCCGTACTGTAACGGTACGGGCGGGTTGAGCCTCAGCGTCTCGTAAACAAATGATTGAACAAGTTCCATTTCTTTTACAGTCCCGAAGCTCAACCCCGAGCTACCGGCTTTTTCTCTCACTTCGTTACGTAGTTTTTCTTGAACACCGGTTTTGTCGGACTCCAATGTGGATAACAAACTTAGGAAAAAGATCAAGAATCCGCCAAAGGCATTGAAACCGAGGGTGAACAAGAGATTATGGATGGCGTCTTCTCTGCTGAGATTGAACTCGGTTTGTCCTCGTTCAATTACTTCTTTGCCCTCTTTCTGGATGAATTCGTAGAGCTTGTTATAATCCCGACTCACAAGGAAGTAAGGGTAAGGGAAGGAATGCAGGAAGATCTCGACTAGTGGCTGGAAGGCGTTGATTGGGACGGTGGGAAGGATCTGAAGCGCGAGCCACCGATCCATATATAAGTAACCATTCTCGGCCATATCCGGCGAGTTTTGGGGATCGGCTCCGGCGATACAGCGAGATAAGAAGGCAAAGTGGAATTTCTGAATGGGGACGACGTAGCTGACTGGTCCAGAGGCGAGTTGTGATTCAATGTTATCCCACATGGTGTCTAGCAGGCTGGTTAGGGTCGGGATCCAGACGGTGGAGCTCCGTTTCAGCATGTCCATTGTGAAGTTCTTTAGCTGCCATTTTCAATACGAAAATTAATTAAATCGTAGTCACAAAATAAATCCTGTTGTTAAAACATATATAGTTATTATAGTATCATGAGAATTTTACCTTTATGGTATTAATTTTATATGATGATTTTCATTTAAAGCTAAGGAATCATTTATCAAGCGCTTATTCGATAAGTGTTTATCGGGTCATTTACTTTACTGGATGAACATAACAAGAATCGCGAATCTTTCATGGTACCTTAAGAGCAATGACAAGGATCTATAGTCTTACCCGGTAAGTTAGAGTGACGACTCTTACCCGATTAGCTTTTATCGGATAAATTGTTACATATGATGCAATTTTGATAAACTATAATCTACCATGTAAGGTAAGTGAGAGTGTTGACTCTTACTGGTAAGTGCTTATTGGGTAAACGGCCCCTAATTAAGATTTAAGGTAGGTAGGTAGGTATGTATGTATGTATGTATGTATGTATGTATGTATGTATGTATGTATGTATGTATGCATGTATGTATGTATGTATATAGAGAGAGAGAGAAAGAGAAAGTCGGGTTCATACGAGAATGATACATATTTAAGAAAATAAGAGAATGACCGAATCACGTATGATTTTACACTCACATTACGTACAAAATTACATATGATTCATGTGACCTTGCCACACGGCCATAGGGTCATCCGCACGTTTTTTTTTGCCATTAATGCAAAGTCACATGTGATTTTGTACATAATTTAATTATTCTCTCTTATTTTCCTAAATATGTATCATTCTCGTATGAACCTATCATTCATATATATATGTGGAGGAGCGATCAAATGAAAACCACCTTCATTTGTACAAACCGTACAAACCACCCTCATACGTCGATTTTGTTGTTTAATTTTGTGAAAAAATTTCATGAAATTGTTTAATCTTGTGAAATTGTTTCATATAATACTTTTTTTTTATGAATTTGTTTCATATAATACTTTTTTTTTATGAATTTGTTTCATATATGGTTATGAAATTGTTTCATATAATATTTAATGAAAGTGTTTCATGTATCTATATTATCTTATAAAGCAAATTTAACAAAAGTCTTAAAGTCTTAAAATAATAAATGACCAAGATACCCTTTATATCACTTTTTTATTTTTTTTCACCCCTCCTCTCCTCACATACACTCATCCTCTCACATCCACTCACCTTCTCACAACCATTTTTTTAAATTATAATTTTAAATTTACACTTTATACTCCTATAATTAGTTAATTAATTTACTTTACGTCCTTTACTTTTAAATGTTTCATTTTAAACTTTTATCAAATTAATATACATAATCGTATATAAATTAAAACATGTTTAAAAAATACATTTTTATTTTAACAAGTTACACCATTATATTCGTCTCGTTAATACCTTCGAAATAAGTCCACTATTGAATAGTTTTTGACTTAATTATATTATTTATATATTATATATAATGTGAAAAAATATTTTTAATATTTACGATTTATACTTTTATAGTTATTTATTTATATACATACTATATATCTTGGGGTTATGCTGTCCAAATTGCATTGTATAATATGTTCTGAATTAATATGTTCTTGGATTTTTTATATACATGTATTAATTCGACCTTAATCTGAGTTTCTAGACAAGAAATAAGATAAGCAGTTGAAATTTCATTCTAAAACCCAATTTTTTTGGTCTTTTCATGGCTTATGATCTGTCAAATTTGTAGTTTTCTTTATTGGTTTTGAGTGTTTATCTTAAAACTCAAGTTTCTTGGTTCTTTGCTCTTGGTGTAAATCGAACACATTTGTGGAGTCGTTTAAATATGTTGGATTTTAAATATATTGGATTTTAAACTGTCATACAATTCTTTTCATCGATAGTCTGTAATTGGAACCATAACTCTTATTTATTCAAATTGTATTAATATGTAAAGACCAAGTGTAACTTATATCATCGTTAAATCTTATCTTATAAAACCAGTGGAACTTCAAAATCGTTAAAAATTCATGGCTCCGTCGCATTGCGCGGGTACACAACTAGTTTCTTTAAAATTAAAATAATGAAGATGATAATATCCATGATTAACACTCTCCACAATAAAAATGGTTAATCAACCTTTCATAATTACAAAAAAATGAACAAAATGAAAAATTATGTTGGGTTGAATGTGATTTTTACGGTTTGTACAAATTAGGTGGTTTTTATTTGAACGCTCTTCTATATATTTGTGTATGCATATGTTTTAAGAAAGTGAAACTAATTTACATACATAAAAGAATTTCACATTACAAAACAGACATGTTAAACAATATCTTAAATGGAAATTTTTTTATCTGAAATAACATATATGCATTGATTTTCATGAGTTCTAACTTTTTGTGGTTCAGACATAATTAACTCCATATTAAAAAAAAGTCTTAAATACAAGTAACATTAAAATCACACCATAAATAAATCTAGCAAATCCCATTATTTACACTAAAGTCTCATTTGGTTTGCGGAACGGATTTGGGAAAATTTAGAAATCAAATCCATTATAATCCCGTGTTTAGTTTGTATGATTTCTTTGAAATCCGTCAAGCATAGGATTTTGAAATCTCATGGAAAAGGTTGAAATTTCAAGGGATTTTGAAGAATTTGTATATAATAATGTTTTAAAATATACTAGAATTATTTGTTTTTCAATAATCAATTAATAATAAAATAATTTAATTAATTGTAATTCGTTTTCACTTTTTATTTGTAAAAAATAAAAATTCAATTGCATTTCAAATCCTAAAACCAAACACATATAAGATTTTAAATCCTTTCAAATTTAAATTCGTCCGATTCCAAATCTTTCTACGAAATCCAAATCCATGGAGAAAAAACCCACCAAGAGATATTGAGATTGGTTTGATAAATACCCAATTGGATCTCATGTTTAACCAAGATTCTAGTATTCACGTGAATAGCGGTCCTGCATGAATTCCATAAAAGATGGAATCGAGTTGTGCAACAAAACAAAATTGAAAACGCCATCTCGATTGAAATCGCTGGAAAAACCTAAGCCTTATATAAGTCGTCCAAAAATCCATAACCCTCCAACAACGGACAGACCTATTAACCCTCGAGCGAGGTCCCGTTAAAAAAACTCAAGTATTCCATTTATTTCCATAAGTGGAATTTTTTTGGATTACAAAAAGTGCAAGAAATATCAACCAAAAGAATGAGTCATTCGAAATCGATCAAAAAATCGAAAAAGTTCCTTAAAGTCGACCAAAAAACTTAAAAAATCATTCGAAACGGTAGAATTCAATGTTGGATGATTTTACGGAGTTAACGGTGCACCTGCTTGGCAACACGGGTCGATCACTGATGGACCGTTTGTTTAAGGTTGAAAGCTTCCCCAACAAAAAGCATCCAAAAAATGGCAATTATTGTGCGTTAAGATTGATGTCGACGTGCATGAAACAAGTAGGTGCTTTTTGTTAGCTTGTTCTCTATACTATGTAGCAATAAATAAAACAAATAGTGATCACATATTTAGTCTTTGTTTTTTGTTACATTTTTCTTATCTTTTGCTACCACCACATCAATTTCAAAGTTTATTAACTTAAAAAATGTTCTCTTTTTATATAGTATTTTAGTTACAAATTCTTTTTTTTTATGATTATACTGAACTTTTATTGGTTTTAAAGTTAAAAGACCGATCAATTTAATCCCGAGAGGCAAAAATAAACTAGGGGTTTATAGTTCACATCTCTGGCACGATAAACTTTGGAACAAAAAAGGATCATAAGGACAGTTTAAACTAAATTTTAATGTCGATAAGTATTATATATATAATTGGAATAGCATGTGTGATATGTTTCTTTTATATACATATACATACATACATATATATATATATATATAATAAATTAAATGCAAACCATATATATATCATCTCTGTTTTAAATATATATATATATATATATATATATATATATAGGTGTAAGTTCAAACGAGAACACCTTTATTTACAAGAACGCGAAAACATTTTTATCACATATGATAATACGCATTTTATTGGTGCGTTTTCATAGTTTACAATTAGTTTTTAATTTTGATTTTTATGTATTTTCCCTTAATAATTTTAAATTTACGAGTTTATGGATATTAATTATAGAGTTGATATGATCATAACTATTGATTGCACAAAATTTTACACAATTATTACTCGTTAGAGATGCTTTTAAGATTTATTGGGACCATCCTCAATTATTTGCATCATTTTTTTCTTACACCATCTATTTTTAATATCAAATAGAATATTATAAATATATTTATGTCTATAATGGCTTACTAATTTGACTCATAAATTTTTTTGTTACGAATATTTTATAAATTATACTATTATAATAAAACAACACTAGATTATTTGTAACTATTATTTTATTCAAAGAATTATATTATATATGCTTGAAACATAAAATTATATATATGATATATAATATATAATATTAACAAATATTCTAACTAAACTATCATTTGAAAACAAGGGTTGAGTTCCGTTGAGGAAAGAAGTTATGGTGAGAAAAACGTAAAAAAACATCCTCATCCATTGAATCAATCTAAATTGAATGTCAACACTAATGGGGTGAATATAGATGTACCGAATCAATTCTCTTACAAAGTGCAACTTATTGGCAACATCAAAATTAAGTGTTTAGAAAAGAGAAATTATATTATATTAAGCGTAGTAAATATTTTAATAATATAGTTAAATGGTAGAATTACTAAAATAAAATAGTTGTTGGAGTTGGATATAATTTTTTACATATTTTTAATTTATAATACTTTATGTTAAAACAAATAACATAGTTGTTACAAATGCTCTATAATCAATTACGATAGAGTTTATAACGCAAATATTTAAAGTAACACGTCACCTTCCTTATCTATATTATATTATAAAGCATTTGACAGAAACTCTTAAAAACCATATTTTATGCGTAAAATATTGTTTATTAATACATATTACTTAAAACTCAAGATTGCAAGTAGATTGTGCATAAGTACAACTTATTAAATCTTCATATTTGAATTTGTGTAACTCACTGCAGATAAACATCTCATTTTAAATATAAAAAATATAAAATATAATTAGGATAATCATTGAATTCTAACAAAATACTTAATTATTATTTTTATAAAATGCTATATTATTAAACCAAAAATAAATTATTTCGTTATTAAACTTAAATTAAATTATATTAATTTTTTTTAAAGAAATTACATAAAAAATGAAAGTTTTTAAATAGTTGATTTGATATTAACATTGATATTTTTTTTTCTTCAAATTTTATGATATCTTCAAATTTATATTTTATTTAAAAATAAAATTATTATTGCTTTTTTAAAACACGTAAAATCGTATTATAATATCGACAGAGACAAATAATAAAATGAAATATTAAAATCGAGACATTTTTTGTTGTATTGCGCAAGTACTCTTCTAGTAACTCATAACTATGAATATGTAGTCATTTGAATCTTGTCATAAAATTTAATATCTTTTGATATTTTTTATTTATAGTATTTGAAATGAAATTGAATTCTAATTTTTATAGTTATTTATATGATAAATCATAAAAAGAATTTAATTATATTTTAATAATTAATTATTATAAAATAATAATTAAAATAATAATAACTTCTGATATGTTTGATACGATATGAATAAATTAATAAATTAATTAAAAAATTTAACTAAAAAACTATAACCATTTTCTGGTTATTTTACATGCATGGCGAGTATTTTTTTTGGTTATCTTAGGAATAAAGATAAGGTGTATTTAATTTGACGCTGTGTCGGGTTCTGAAGCTGATGGAGTCTCGAATGGCGTAAATAATTACTCGTTATTTTTTTCTGATTTTCAGACGGTGTTTGGTGGAGATTTGCTCAGATTTTAAAACGTCAATTGTTCGTATAATTAACTTTCGTGTTCATAATCACCGATCCGCCCTAACCAGACCGGCGATCGAGAAATTATGTGAAATTACTGAAACGTACCTGTTGATGTTTAGGTTCAGATGGATCGAGATAAGCACAAACACGCCGATCGCCGGTGAATTTAGTGCTAGGCATGAAATCACCGACGAGAATGTTCTTCTTCTCTATAATTTCCATATCGAACATATGAGCAAAGGATTTGCAATCCAACACTGCAACGACGTTCGGATTCACGAGAAAAAACGGAAACGACGGCGGAACGTTTGTTCGGAACACCGTGCTCTGATTCTTCTCTATCTGCTTCTTGAAGAACGTCTGTGGTCCTTGGAACCAGGAGTAGTTAAGGCGGTCAACTAATGGTCCTAGCAGCGGCAAGCCGTAGCTACCGGGAATTGAACGGAGCGGCAAGGAAGTAGGTGTAGGTTGCGACGTTAAGGATGTCTTGGGCGGCGGTGGAGCGGAGGAGGCAGTTATTCTGTTGACAGCCATGGTGTTTGCCGACATTGAGACGAAAGAAAAAGAGAAGAAGAGAGAGGTTTTTGTGTTGAAAGAGAAATCCAACTCCAAACTTTTATAATCACATTAAAACATGCCTAGGGCTATATACAAGCATCATCTAAAAATAGTAGATTTCTTATTGATAACATAATGATCTAGTTCTAGGATAAGAGAAGGTGACAGGAATGGATACAATACCTTTTAATACTTTTATCAAAAGTCACTCAGAATGGTTAGAAGATAAATTTTGTTTGTCAAAAAAAAATCTGTCTTTTAATGATTGTAAAATTCTCTGAATGATTTTGTATCTTGTGTCTCCTTTAACCATTAAGTATCCTAATTTTATTCTGAATAATTATCAAATAATTATATTTTATTTTGTATTATATTATAAAAGTATTTTAATCATTCTGATTACTTAATCCTTGACAAGTGTATACCATTCTGGAATATGTTTGACTCATCTCACCCGTGCTTGATCCTCCACTAAGTATCCTTTATTCTCTTGATTGATTTAGAATACTTTGGCTTTCCGTAAAACCTTCTACTTCTTGAGAGACGTGACAGTTAGGTGTTGTATAGTAGTGGTATGAATAATTCTTTTTAAGTTGCAAGTATACAAGTAATTTGGTTCCAATTGGTTTACAGCAGTGACGGATTCAAGATTTTTGTTCAACGGGGTCATCTAAAGACTTGTAAAATTGTCCGATGTGTTTTTAATCTAATTACAACGTTTTTGAGGGAATTTTAAAGTTTTTTTGGTTGATTTCGAAGGACTTTTTTAGTGTTTTTGTCGATTTCGAATAACTTTTTTAGTTTTTTTGATTGATTTCAACAAATTTTTTTGGTAGAGTAACGGTTTCGATTGGGGTTGGAGGCCCGTCGAAAAATGTAATGGGAGAAAGTGAAAAGTAAATCATGTAAAACCTAAATTTTAACCTATAATTTTTTTTTGTTGAATTTTTGACAGGGGTCCTTTCTCCTCTCCTTTTTGCCATTGCATCAGCCCTTACTTGGATCTAATGGTTATATAGTTGAGTAAGGTGTAGGGTTAAATTATATTGCTATTCCAGTATGTTTATGCATCTCAATTATGGTGGAAATTGGGAGGAAATGAGTTTGGAGCTAAACAACTCAGCCATCGACTGTATAGGTGGGCAGTGGTTCCCACAAGTGTTCTCGCGACCTAGGCCGCGTGCCAAGTCACGTAACCCACCATGTCCTGGTTCTCAAGTCTTGTGTAGGCAGTGATTTAGAGCTGTATTTTGGGTTGATGTATTCAAGGGAAATACCCGTAACCTACTGGGGCTATAATGGTAGTAATACCTCGTCTGTTGGTAGCCTTTATTCAAGTATCAAGACATTGGTTATTATATGTCTATTTTAAATCTGTGGTTACAAAATATTTTGTCATTATCTTTATCCAAAAAAAATAAAAAATACCTCATCATCGAAACTAATATAAGTTACATTTACATTTTTAAGTCAAAAAATATTTTGAACACATAATAATAATATTATAATCTTTAATTTGACATTAATGTCGACATGTTTTTCGGGTTTTTTATTATATTTTCAAATTAGCAAGACATGTTCAGTTAACGGGTACCTATTCATATCCCCACCCACGTACACCTATTTCTTTACCTGCCCCCTCCAATCTCACTTACACACCTGTTACAGGAGGGGGCATGAATATGATTCACCTATTAAATTGTTTGTTTACAATAAAATCTTGTATTTCGGCTTCTTCGTATAAGTACACAACTAGTTATGTTATACTATATTTAATTAAACTCTTCAATTTCAAAAGTAGAGTGGTCATAAAGAATAGATACAGATTAATGATACATTAAGAGCTATCATTTATCAAGAAGTTCTGTTCCACATAAATGCAACACAAAAAAAAAAAAAAACGAATTTCTTGCCAATAACTTAGGCTTTGATTCCAAAATACCTCTTTAAATACACTTTTTTTTCACATAACGCACAAATCTGAATCAAAATCTTTGAAAATTGTTGGTGTAATTGTGTTGGGGAGTAGATTGAGAGATTGATCTTTTTTCTCCGTATGATGTAAAAAAAAAGGTATTTAATAATTGGTGTACAATTTTGTATGATTATAGATAATCACTTGCATACCGAACAAAAGTTTTCGACGTAAGCAATCGTCAGATGTTTTTGACGGATCAACGACATTTTCCAAATAAATTTTCGAATCCAATAAAGACGTACATTTTCCGATAACTCTTAAGCAGAATAGTTAGGAAAAAGATCCCATCAATAATCTGTCCTTGACTAGCAACAAATCACTCTCGAGTTTTCAAATAATAATGATAAAAAGATTGAGAATATGATGAAAATTTTAACATTTAAGATGAGATGGTCAAACGTATAATTATAAATAAAAAAAGTTATATCTATTTTTTTAAATGAGAAAAACCTCCTTTGTTTTTTTTTAAATAAAAACAAATAAATTATAATTCAAATTAGAGTTAAATAAGTTATAGAATTTTATTATTATTTCTAATTGAATATTCATATAGTATGTTGGAAAATTTATTAAAACTAGAAAGATACTCGCACAATGTAACGAGATATATCTTGATTTTAATTTTTGTTTTCTTTTTTGTCTCAGTCGATATTATAATACGATTTTATATGATTTTGAGAAAGCGATAATATTTTTATTTTTAAATAAGATATAAATATAAAGACATCATAAAGAATTGAAAAAAATGATATTAGTACTAAACTAACTATTTAAAATTTCTTTTTTTATGTATTTTCTTTAATATATTTTTTATAAAGATAATAATTAAGTACTTTGTTATAATTCAATGATTATCATAATTATATTTTAAATTTTTATATTTAAAATGAGATGTTTATCCTCTCGATCATATTTATTTGCAGTTAGTTATACGAATTCAAACATGAAACTTTAATAAGTTGTACTTACGCACAATTTATTTGTAATCTTGAATTTTAAGTAATATGCATCAATAAACAGTACATCATGCATAAAAAATTGTTTTTAAGAGTTTTTGTCAAATGCTTTATAATATAGTATAGATAGTCAATTCTCAGGTCTCTTAGTCATTTTTTCTTTAAATTTACCAAAATAGTCATGGATTAGTAAGACCCATGTCTATAATTGAGGATCCAACTAAAAGATAAAAAAGATTACACTTTTTACCTCTCTCTCTACAAAAAAATTACATTTTTCATCGAGATCCGCAATCTTTTTTATATTTTTCACCCAAATCCACACAAAAAAATTCATATCTTAGGGGTTGTTTACCAAATTTTTTATTAAGTCCTGTTACTTGTATAGATTAATTTGTCTGTCTGGTTAAATGAGTGTTGTTGTTTACTTTTTTTATCTGAACCAACAGTCTGAATAACATAAATGACCGATTTACCCCCAAATATTAATTATCATAAAGAGGCCAACGATGGGTTGTCTCATATGGAAAGGAGGTGGTGCTTTAAATAAGAGGTAAGAGTGCCATTTTTGTGGTTGAATGGGGACAACACACAATTTATATTTGTGCGATTAAACTATGTTCTGTGTGAATAAGTTGTAAGTAAAAAACCCAAATAAACTGTGTGAATGAGCCCAATAGACCAATAAACTTAATCAAGTTGCAAATAAACAGCCCCTTACTCAAGTCCACAATCTTTTTTTATATTTTTCATCGAAATCCGCAAAAAATAAAATAAAATTATGAACTTAAGACTATTAAAAATCAATAAAAGATGAAACCAACCCGATGAAAATAATTATTTTAATTAATTTCTCTTGTATTTTTTAAACTATTTATTCCTTTATCACATTTAGACGTGTCCCGTCCCTCTCTATTAATTATTCTTTATTTATGACATCGTGGAAGGGGTCCTCACTCCCACAAGTGTTGGGGGAATATTATTTGTATAATTGTATTTATTTTCATGTGAGGATACGGTATTTCATGCATTTAACTCATCCAAAATACTATTATACATACTTTTATTTATGTCATGATTAGATTAAATTATTAAATCTATATATATATATAGAGAGAGAGAGAGAGAGTTTCAAATACAACATGTTGTATTTGTACAACCAATGCAATCCAATAAATTGAGATATTTATGGAAATGATGAAAGTTCATTTATTATTATTTGAATATTTATGGAAGATGAATATGGTTCATTAATTATCATCAATACTTTATATTAGAAAACAATCAAAACTTCTATGAAATCACATATTAATCAAATGAAATGGACGGTTGAGATTGAGTTGTATTGGTTACACAAATATGAAGAGTTGTATAATAACCAACCTCTATATATATATATATATATATATATATATATATATATATATATMTCTCTCTCTCTATATATATATATATATATATATATGGAGAAAATTAATTAGTAAAGACAAATCTAACAATATATAAGAATAAATAAAAGTTCAAACGAGAACACTAACTATTTAAGAAAACAAAAAAGATATAGTTAATGTACAAAATCACATATGATTTCATTAACATCAAAAAAATGGAAGCAGACGAGAACGCTAACTTTTTAAGAAAACAAAAAATGTAGTTAATGTACAAAATCACATGTGATTTGTGAATATATACATATATATATATATATATATATATATATGTGTGTGTGAAAATCATGTATGATTTTTTACATGAATCATATATGATTTTATACATTAACGATATTTTTTTTCTTAAATAGTTAATGTTTTCGTTTGAACTGTGGATATAAACATATTTTAAGCGTTGGTCTAAAACGTAACTTATGTGTACCACGTGGCATTGGTGGTGGTAAATATCATTGGTCAATAATAAATACTGAAAAAATAATTATCATTTTCATATACAATTAATTTATTATTGTTACAATTATTAATAAGAAATAAATTTAAAATGTCTTTTTAGTAAAGTAACAAACATCTGATTTGAAATTTTGTGGAGGGTTGGGACCATTTTCCCCGACTCACATGGTTACATTCTTA